TGGTGGCTTCGCGCTGGGTCCGTTTTCGGCGTGTCTCGCCGTGGCCCAGTCTCATCTGTGGTCCCATCGCCGTCACGAGGGTCCCTTCCCCCAGCGGGGCCCCCTCCCCCTACCTCTCGGGGCGGGGAAGGGGTCCTAGGACCGCCACCCCCCCAATAGGTCAAAATTATTTTCCGTCATTACCTGCGAATGATGGGTCATAATGATGGCTCTCTGGATTCGGTCTCTCACGTTTTAAAACAGCTTACAATTCAAAAGAATTTTCAATGTTAATGACATTCAAATTTAGTAAAATATTTTTGTCTAAAATTTGGACGTTTTAACAAACAAAATATTACTCTTTGCAGATAAAGTCAGCTATTTCGTGTGTGGACTAAAAATTTCCCCCCCAGCAAAGATATCACTTCTGGCAGTTAAATTCAGAAACACATTTCACGCAGGAACTAAATTTTGCACTCACCGCGCGACACGAGCATGTCTTGCGGGTCCCACGGTGTTTCGCGGCTTCTCGCTGTGGGCACAAACAGAAACTCAGAAAGTGACCTGGGACCGAGCCGCTAAGCCCGGCCAGTCATTTTTATCTCATTTTTATCCCCAATCCACTGTGTTCCTTTGGGTCAGAAACACAAACTTCCCCCAAAGGGACCTTGAATAATTACAAAACGGATAGACGTTTACTCTGCAAAACATGCGTCTGGTCCCTGTGTGTCTCTGAATGCCTTGTTATGTGGAATGCAATACTACTTATACAATATAAGTAAGAAAAACGCCTAATTTACAGTAATATCGATTATTTTTTAATATATTTTATTGATTTTTTACAGAGAGGAAGGGAGAGGGCTAGAGAGTTAGAAACATCGATCAGCCGCCTCCTGCACGCCCCCCACTGGGGATGTGCCCGCAACCAAGGTACATGCCCTTGGCCGGAATCGAACCCGGGACCCTTGAGTCCGCAGGCCGACGCTCTATCCGCTGAGCCAAACCTGTTCGGGCAGTAATATCAATTATTAAAACAACAACAACAACAAAAACACTAGCAATTGCAGTGGTTGGGCCAACCAAAGAATTTTCCCGGAGAAAAAATATGTAACCAGCGACCTTGCGTAGGACTGCACTCCTGGGGAAAACATAAAGCAAGTGGCTTTTCCGTTAACTCTACCATCGTTCTCAGCTTCTCTACAGGGGCGCCCACTTTACTGGGCGGGCTCATGCCCACACCCCAGGTGTAGAATTAGTATCCTCATATTTGTAGAATCAGTACCCTTGTTATTATTTACTCTTACATTTTCTTGAAGCGGGGAGAGCCCCCCCGGTTTTGAAATTTGTTTTTTCCTTCTTCATAGCTCTCCAGTGCCTTACCCGGACAGGCGCTGCTGGGCCCAGAGTCCAGAATCCAGGCCTGCCGATGGCTGGCCACGGGTCCCTGGGTCACACTGTGTTTACCCACCATGACTGAGGCCAGAGAGTGACCCAGATCCCGGCTGACCCCCAACACGGGGCTTGCAGCCCCGAAAACACTGTCCCAGTGGGGTGTCTCCAAGATCTCCGCAGAAGCCTCCTCCGGACCCCGGGACTCGAGACTTGGGGTGGGGAGGGTTCTGTCTTCGTTGGCAGGCCCTGTGCTGTTTCCCGCCAAAGTAAACTTAAGTTTGTAATCACCATGGGTGGAAAGCGTGGGAAATGTAGCCTCTTGGAAAACAAACAGAAGCAGGTTGCTCTTTGCAGGGGTGGAGGGGGAAGCGGGTGTGTTTGGGGCCAGGGTAGGGCAGGTTGGGAAAAGTCACTAGAGGGGGTCACGCTGGCTGCCTGAGGGCTCCCAGCCTGGGCAGGGAGCTGGGGAGCAGTGTGGTGTCACCCTTGTGGGGACGGTGGGCTCCGGTTCTGAAACAGCTGCCTCTGCCTGTTGTCATGTCTTACAGCAGCCACAGGAGACTCACACGTGGGAGGCAAGGTGGGCATGTTGTCCGCTTTGCGTGCGCCGATGAGGTGGGGGGGCGGGGACTGAGGTCCTGGCCACCCCTAAGGCTGTGAACACTGAAGCCAGACGGGAATCTCCTTCCGGGTGTCACCCGGCACTGAAAGACTTGCCGCTGGTGGACCTTGGTGACGGAGCAGGCAGTACCTGGTTGTTGAGGCAGAGATGAATTCCCACGCTCCACATCTGGGCCGGGCCAGGCTCTGAGAAGCCGTCCTGGGCGCTCTGGGGGGTTAACAGCATCCCTGGCCCCACCCATTCCATGGCAGCAGCACCCCCACTTGTGACAACCACAGATGTCCTCAGACATTGCCCTGCATCCCCCCCCCAGATGTCATTTTGTCTTTCCTCTGTCTCATCCGGGGGCCCCTGCAAATGCTGCGTCTGTGAGAGGGGAAACCATGCTCAGCAGGCCAGGGTGGGTAAGGCACAGGGTCCGCACTGGGGACGGAGAGAAGGCAGACAGGTGGGAGGTGCCCTGCTAGGAGAGGGGAGTCGACAAGAGGTGAGGGGCCCCCATACTGCAGCGCAGGAAAGAGGGAGTAAGGACGGCTTCCTGGAGGTACTGAGAGCTGAGCTGTTGAGAAGGGGCAGCAGAAGTTGTAGGAAGGGCATGTCAAGGATGGAGGGCCCATGCCCGGGGTCCTGTAGAAATCAGTGTGGCCAGGTTAAGCGTCTGTATATGGGGGTGGGTAGAGGAGGCCATGGATCTCACCATGACTTAAAAAAAAAAAAAAAAGGCTTGCAAAGTATATTCAACTGAATAAGAACCCCCAAAGATATCTACTTCTAATCTGTGGGACTTGTGGATGTGTCACCGCATGTGGCAGAGGTAAGAGGAAGCCAAGGCCCCTGAGATGGGAATGACTCCGGATTACCAGGGAGCCCGGGGGCATCAAAGGCCCTCATAAGAGGAGGCAGGAGGGTCAGGGTCGGAGATGCAAGAGGCTGTGCTGCTGGCTGTGACGATGGAGGAAGAGCCGAGAGCCTGGGATTTGGTGCTGGAAAGGGTGCAAATGATTCTCCCTGGAGCCCCCAGAAGGACCAGCCCCGCCCACTCCTGCGTTCAGCCCCTGAGACCCTGTGTGGGACTCCTGACCCCAGGACTGTGAGATGATAAATGTGTTGTTTGAAGCCACTAAGTTCATGGTGATTTCTTTTCTTTTTTTTTAATAATTTTTATTTCTTGAAGTATTACAAAGAGTATTACATATGTCTCCTTTTTCCCCGGCACTTGACATTCCCCCGGCCTCCCCTACCCCCTAGTGTCTTGTGTCCATTGGTTATTCTTATATGCATGCATATAAGTCCTTCAGTTGATCTCTTAACC